AATATACTTTCCTTCCAATTCTTCATTAAAAATTAACTTAAAAATTGGACTAAATTGTTTCATATATATAATTTTGCACCAATTTAACCAAAAGAAAACCTTATAAACTATTACTAAAATATTTACGGGTCACAATATTTTACCGACGCCCCTGTTACACAATACAATGATGAAATACAATGTTTAAACAATATACTATTACTTAGTAAATTTGGAACCATTAAATTGTAAGTTTTGAAATGTTTATATATATTATAAATAAAGATCCACCCAGTCAGGCGGGTTATGATCTAGTTATATATTACAATTCAAGATTACCAATATCAGCTTGTTTTGATAGAAAAAAGTATATCCATCAATACAAAAATAAATTACACGTATATTTGTCGATAATATAAATTACACTGGTAAACATCACATATTACAATCCAAGATTAGCAATATCAGCTTGTTTTGATAGAAAAAGTATATATCCATTAATACAAAAATAAATTACACTTATATTTGTTTTTTATTTGACCACAATAGCTTGTAAAAAACGTTTAAGAAGATTGTACAATCTTTTGAATGTCTTATCAAACTAGTAATAATCTATTCTAAAATAATTGATGTATTTTCAAAACAAAGATTATGGTGGTGATAGTTAAGATATTTCTCACTTTGATATATATACTAATTATACAACCTTCGCTGTCAAACAAGATATATACATTTTCAAAATATGTCTTATAGTAAATCAAGATATATAGCTACAGTGTTCATCAATTATTTTGACATTTTGGCTGTTTTCAAGTCTCAACTTTGTTTTCTTCTTATTAGTGGATCTTCTTAGTTATTCACACCAGCTGATTTTTATTTACAATTGGATAATAACTTAAATAAATAGGTAGTAACAATCTATCAAAGAATATAATTAAAAAAATTTCATGAACAAAGACTTTTTTTGTTTCTCAAAAGAATGGATAAAATCTATAATATAAAAACATGTCGTTTATCTAATTATGTTAAAAATATACACTATCGAGTAATTGAAATTGTCCTGATATAGATCTTCACGAATCAGTTTAATAAGTTGGTAAAATTAGACAAAAATTCTTATAAAATAGATAAAATTAAAGATTGTAAGCTTTTTCTTAATTAGAATATAGTATAGAATCATCGTTTAGAAATAATAATATAGAAAGGGATGATCGATCTTGGCTAAAGAATTATTTTCAAAAGAAATCTTGGCTGAAAAAATGATAGAGAAAGAGTTGTCCTGATTCTTTAAGTGAACAGAAACCAATATTTCACACGTTGCAGATATGCACGGCGAGATCAAAGATCCCAAAGTACCAAAAAATTCCCTGACCGTTTGATATTTTTAATATTGGAATCACACGAGGGACCTATATATCAATAATTGCTGTCGCTAAATGCCAAAACGACTGGAATTAGAAAGAAAAAAAATAATCTCTAATAATTACTACTTAGGAACGGTGATGGTAGGTCGCTAGATAAAGCAACGTATAATATATGTGGACCGGTTGATTACTTGATTTGGTGTCAATTAAATGCCTGAAGATTGGAAACGAAATCTACTGAACTGTATTTATTTCGTGACCAACAAACTTTTCCTTTGATAATGATCTATATAAAAAAAATAGTCTAATCATATTATTTGATTATGATGTTACGATTACATATTTCTTTAAATATTAATATTATATTTATTAAATGTTAAAATAACTGTAATGAACCAAAATTATTTTATTAGAATTTTTTTGTAACGTCCGACCATCCATGGTTAATGGACCACCCACTCATGTTTATTCGATATCTGGTCCATCCTGTTTCAACGGTCAGTTTTTTAATTTTATCAAGACCCGAAATTTACCGACCCGACAATTACCACATGACATTTTTCCGTATTTTGGCTTCACTTTCCTTCAGCCTAAAGACGTTTAACTCTAGAGTTCTAAACATGTGTTTAATAGAAAAGATAAATTGACTTTGGTGATATAGATAGTTAAATTAATTCTTTTAAACATTTTCAAACATCACGATGTTACAATTGTATTGGATGTTAACCACGTTATCCGTCTACTACTTTTCTGCCTCATCTTTAATTTACATTTTTGAGAATCAATATGCATATGAATTCGTCGTGTCTAAATTTCTTAGTTATGTCATAAATCTAATGACTAGAGAATGATTAAGGAAGGTTTTGCCCAAAAAAAGAGAGAATAAGGAAGGTTTGAATATTTAGGTATATTGGCATATACCTTGCGCACAAAAAAAAATAATAGAAAGAAAACAATAGAACAACAATTGCAAGATTTGTCGCTATTTGCAAAATTTTGCGCAAAATTGTGTTATAGACGTTATTGTGGCGTCTGGCGAACATAATTTCATTGATAATCATTAGTTGCTGGTCAGTGGACGTATGTAATCATTATTATTACTATTTGTTAAAAATGTTAACCTAATTAAACGCAAAAGGCAGCTTCAGATAGTTTTTTTCATTATGAACCAAAAGTATAGAAAGAGAAAGGAGGACCTGCTGGTAGAGGATATATAATACAAAGAATCATTAGCTGAACTGATTTTGATAAGTTAAATTTCTAATGGACCGAACCAAATGCTGATAAGAGAGGGATTGGTCGAGTGTGTGTACTACCAACGTCTCAAAGTCTGCAACGTTTTGCTTTTGGTGGGTTTTAGGAGGTTGTCTTCTTGAGTCCTCTTCATTATATCACTAACCTTTGTGACATCCCTCAACTTCGGTAGCTTCTTTTGTATTTTAGCGCTGAATGCTGTAAATGCATCTTAACCAGGTAGTGTTGTGTTACATTCATATGCGATCACTATATATATAACAAGTGACAGTAAAAACACATTATTTCCAGCAGCTTATGGTACTGCAAAAGCATGACACGCATACATACCAATTTTGTTGCTATTGTGAACATCAAAAAGGACAAATAGTCAAATAGTTATTATTGCAATTGCATCAAAATGAACGCAATGGGTTGTTTGGACTAGGATTTACCATGATCGACAATTCGACATCTTTATAGCCACGTATATGATGCTAATTAATTTAATAGTTAGATATATATATACATTTGCTTTCGTCGTTTTAAACTAACATACGCAATAAATCGGCTAATTACTAATATTGCTAGAAGGATGCTGAAAAATTCATAGGTTGACTTTTGTAATTTTATTATTGACGGTACTTTCTTAATTTGGATATTGTTCTGTCCTCTCTTCTTTTCTGTCGACGATAAGGCTAACGCATTTAAATAACGTACACTTGACAATTAAGAACTTATAATCATTAGACCAAACAAAAAGAACTTATAATCATACAGACACTTCTACATTAATCGTACATGCATTAACAATTTGTTCGGCAATAAACACTAATATATTAGAAAAACATAGAAACTACTCTTCAACCAACCGCAATATATACATACATCACTTTAAGGTTTGACTTTGGGTTTTATGATATTAAAACATCATTAATTTTAAATTTGTTCTACCTCTACCTGCTGCCTTATATGTTTAAAGTAATTCTTGATGAATTGTTCTAAACTCAAAAGATGTGAAATAAGATAATCAGGTAGCAAAGCATTGTGTAACAGATACAGAGTCTGTAATTAACTTGAAGGCTACAACATAGTTTCCTCCATGTTTTTTTCTACTCGTGATCATTTTAATATTACATATGTGATGGAATTTCATGTTCATAATCGTCTGAACTAGATCGAGTTCATTGAATGGAAAGATCATTAAAATTTTACATTATACTAATGCGTTGAATTTACGAACATTAAAGTATAAAACTCATCGTACAATCTCTCTACGGCTGTCATATCTTATATATTAAAACAGAAGTCATGACTTGACTTCATGTGTGATTTTTTTAAAAATGGACTATTACTAGAAAGTTATGTTACATTAATTCTCTAATAATCTTATCATTATTATATCTTATGAGAAATCATATCTATAATAACAAAGATACACTTAACAATTTGATTTTGGTAAATTACCTTACACCTTCCAAATTAGTCACGCAAAATATGTCAATAGATATAAGTTTATGAATCTTATATTATTTATACAGAAATATGTCAATAATAGTTAAATGCATCCACAATATATTAACAAAAATCACAGATTAGTAATATGAAATATTTATATACCCTAACAAAATTTACACGCTATATATATTAGATAAATTTATTTCGATGTAAATTTTTAAAATTATACTTTAAAAAAAAGAAATTGTTTAAAAAGTTCCTTTTTAATAAAATTCTTTATAATATTAATTTATGAAGCTATAAGATTAGTTTTTAACAAAAAAAGTTTATATTATCTTTGCAAATTAAAGTATACTAATATTTAATTAAAACTCTATTTATATTAATTTATCTAAAAATGAAATACTAATCTAAGAAACAATAAAATCTAGAAGAATAAACAAACACATGTTTGAAAAACATGTATAATATAGAAAATTTGAAAAAAATTATTTGATTAATTATTATATAATATTATTATGTTTGAAAAACATTTACTATACATATCGTAAATATGTGATTACTATAATATATATCAATTTACAAGTGAAAATAAAATGTTTATATAACTAACTATAAACGAAAACAAACACCCGCGCGGTTGCGCGGGTCAAAATCTAGTTATTTAATTAACAAGAAAAACTAACATAAATATTAGCAACATCGGCAAGGCAAGTACATTTATATTATTTCTTAAAAAAAAAACTAAAGTTGAAAAGGCAAATAAATGGCAAGTGTATCCAATGCAACCTTCACAGTGAACACGTCCCACGTTCTTTTTCTTCCCTCTTTTAGAACCCCTCTCTCTATCTCTCTCCCCATCTTGCCACTTATCCTCTCGCTCTCATCTATTCTCTCTATCCCACCAGGACAAAAGAAAAACCATAGAGAGAGATATATACAATACGACGCCGTTAGAACACGACCATGTTGGATCTCAGCCTTGGAATGTTCTCTAACTATCAAGAAGATCAAGATCGCAAAGTACCATTAGTCTCAGCCGCCGGTGACGAAGAATCCAACCTCTCTTCCTCCTCCTCATCTTCCAAAGATTCTGCCGCCGCGGGAAAACCTTTCATCACCTTTGGTATTCTCAAACGCGACGATGGTGTGGTTCCTCCTCCACCTAAAGAAACCGGAGATCTTTTCCCCGTGACTGATGCTCGCCGGAATATTGAGTTCTCTTTAGACGACAGTCACTGGTTGAGACTGTCGTCTTTACAGAGGAACAAGCAGCAAGTGGTAAAGAAGAGCAGAAGAGGACCAAGGTCACGAAGCTCCCAGTATCGTGGCGTCACTTTTTACCGTCGCACCGGTCGTTGGGAGTCTCATATTTGGTAATAACCAAAATAGAATTAATCATTCTTTTTTTCGTTTTTAATAATCAATATCATTCAATTATTGCTATATAATCTCTAATTTATGTTTCTTGGACTTGATGATTTGTAGGGATTGTGGAAAGCAAGTTTATTTGGGTAAGTATAATATCCAACCATTTTTAATTATTGGATGTGTGTGTCTATACATAGACATAAACGATGAATTTCTAACTTTATCATATTTTGTGATTTTTTTTTTTTACTTTTATTCTGTCTGACAACATCTGCTAAATGCTAAAAAAATTATGTAAAAGACAAAACATAAGTAGATTAGTACAGCTCATTTCCGATGTTTGGTACTTAGAAGTTAGAACACTTCCATTGCAAATATGAAGAATGGGTTTCAACAAAATATAAAACATAATATAATGATTCAATGTTGAGATATACCTTCCCAATATTTAATCATTTTATTTTTGTTGAGAATCTCTTCCTCATATTTGCAATGAGGTTGCTCTTATATCTTGAACACAACTTTTTTTAAATTCAACACACCTTGTTGATCCTTGATTAATTATCTTTCTTCTTGTTTTAACAGGTGGGTTTGATACCGCCTACGCAGCAGCAAGGTAAAAGAAACTTGATATACATACATAGACATAAGATACAAATCATTTGTGTCAACATTGCTTTAGTGTGGTTTTATTTTGTCAACGTAAACACATTATTGTTCGTTGAAGATATATTAGAAAAGTATTTGATTAGTATTAAATGAATATTTGTACATATATATCCAGGGCCTACGACCGAGCTGCAATCAAATTCCGTGGTCTCGACGCAGATATCAACTTCGTTGTGGAGGATTACAAACAAGACCTTGATAAGGTTGAACATCTAAGTGTATATTATATATAAACGTGATAAATACGTCCGTTGAAATATATGAAGCTGAGATTGTCGAATTAATTATGGATCTTAAACTCTCAATTACCTATAGATGAAGAATTTAGATAAAGTGGAGTTCGTGCAAACACTTAGGCGAGAGAGTGCGAGTTTCGGAAGAGGAAGTTCCAAATATAAAGGCTTGACTCTTCAAAAATGCACCCAGTTCAAAACTCATCAAGATCAGATTCATCTCTTCCAAAACAGGTACCATTACTCTTAATTATCTAATCTTATGTTAAATACTTCATTACAAACATTGAATACTTTCATATTTTGTTACACACGTGCAATCTTATCTTAAATTTTGGAGATCCTTAATTACCACATTTAAAAGTTTTTACTCAAACAAGTTTACAAGTGTTGTCTGATTACTGAAAGTAAGCTGGCTGAAAATTACTATTTATGAGATGAATAGTGGAAAACACTTTCGACTCGGCCGATGGAATATGAACGGAATAGCAATATTCCTCTAACCACTTACTTTCTGTTCATCCAATATTCTATTTATTTTATTTTATTGCCCATCATTCAAAAGCCTAATTCTCTTTTAAAAGGTACTATATTTAGCTCTACGAAATTTAACAGTTTCTAAGAAAAATTATAACAAACCTAATAATTATTTATATATTCCGACGGAAACTTGATTTTTTCAGTTTAATTCCATTCAGCTGATCTTATCACATGTCTTTAGGGTATACTATGACCATTGTTATTTTGTTCAAAAGTTTAATATAATCCTTTATAAGCTATGGTAGTACAATAAATTTTACAGTTTGAAAATATTATCAATAAATTTTACAGTTTCAAATTGCAACTTAAATTGTTCTTAGAAGCATTTTACTCATTCTGTTAAAGATATCAACATGGTTGAACATGATTTATTTTAACAACTAATACCGAGCTAAATTTTTTTTTTTTTTCTACTGAATTTTATTTTTCTAATTGAATTGTTACATATTTAATTAGTAGAATATGGATAGTGTATTTTTAATTATTCCTCTAAAACTAATACCGAGCTAAAGTCATTTTTTGTTTCGATTTTTCCATGTGCAAACCTTTTGGTTTGAGAAAATGGAGATAACATAAGTTCATTTTAGTCGCGCCTGTGTACGAGTTTGATACTTGTCTTAACGGGGACGATATTTTTTATATTCTAGTTTAGCTTTTATGCATTGCGTATAAACGTCACATATGAAGAGTTACTCGTATGTTGTAAATAATTCTGAGATATTATACGTGCCTGAAAATTCACAGGGGATGGGATGCATCAGCGACCAAATATAGTGAGTTAGGAAAGGGAGGAGTCATGAAGTCTGGTGCTCATATTAAAGGTAATTGATAAGTGTGGGTCACAATGTTTACATATTGTAAGGTTGGTTGGTGAAGTTTTTTTAAACATAGTTGATTGATGAAGTTAGGTGAAACCAATTTATATAACACTAACAATAAATATCACATTTACTTTTGATTAGATCAAGCAAACCCTAGCCAGCTAACTTTTTTTGCCTTTGTCTTTTAGCAACTTATAGTAACGAAAATAGATCATCATATCTAATCCATTAACTTTTGTTTGTTATTCTTCAGGGAATGCTCACAGCGATCTTGAACTAAGTCTTGGTCTTTCATCATCATCGCAAAATATAAAGCTGACAACAAGCGACTACTACAAAGGTATCAACCAATCCACGATGGGTTTGTTTGGTAAGCAATCATCGATCTATTTACCGGTGACGACCATGAAACCTTTGAAGACAGTTGCAGCATCATCAGGATTCCCTTTTATCACCATGACCACACCCTCTTCCTCCATGTCCACTAGTTTTGATCCATAAGATCGATCTACACTCTATTTTAAGTAATTTTTTCCTTCTGATTTTTGTATATCAAATATAAATTTGATTCTTTACTTAATGAGTGAGAAATATTGAAAGTATTTGTTCTAACTTCAACTCCAGAATGTGCCAAGCTTCGTTATCACGAAGATGTGACTACAATAATGGGTTATAAGAAAACTACAATATTATGAAATGTGACGAGTGTTTTAATGTTCTTCACAAGTATGGTATTATCTTTTCTCTTGGCCGTGTCCTTTTTATAAAGAATATGGGAACGTTAAACATGTATGGAATAAGTTTAAGATAATTGTTTAAGCTAATGGGATTGTGGACTCTAAGATAATGGTTTAGGCTGTAAAAAAAAATAGTGGAATAGAAATACATGAGGTATACAAACAAATGAAATAAATTGTATTTAATATTTTTCTCACTAAAATAACATTGAACTATATTATAACATCTCGAGTTGTGATTTATGGAAAAGTTTAAGAAAATTGATTTAACTACCTATGTCATCAAAATTGACTTACATTTTCCGTCACACATCCGTTTAGAACTCCAGAGTTTAGCATGCTTGAGTTGGAGTAGTGAAAGGATGGATAACCTATCGGGAAGTGATGAGGCCAAAGTAAGGAGAAAGATCGGATAGTGACTTCTGAAAAATTAACGCACCGCCCGTCACATGAGATGAGACCACGAGCCGAGAGAGCGGACGTGGGTGACCTATTAGCCGTGGACGGATGGGGCGTTATAAGTGGTATTAAAGTTGGTTAACCATCTCGATTCTGACTCGAGAGGCGTCTTGAAACCTGTCGTGGGGGCGCAACAAGAACGTTGCGTTCTTTGAGAGGGGATGAATTATAACATCTCAAGTTGTGATATATGGAAAAGTTTAAGATGATTGATTTGGCTACCTATGTCATCAAAGTTGACTTATCTTTTCCGTCACATATCTGTTTAGAACTCCAGAGTTAAACGTGCTTGGACTGGAGTATTGAAATGATGAGTGACCTATCGGAAAGTGATTCGAGATACCATGCGAGTGAGACCAAAGCACGGAGAAAGGTCGGGGTCCAAAAACAATAATTTTGAACCTTCGAAAAAATTAACGCACCGCTCGTCAAATGGGATGGGATCATGGGCCGAGAGAACGGGCGTAGATGGCCCATTAACTGTGAGCGGGCGGGCGTTATATATTTTTGAGATTTTGTTTATTTTTTGTGGAATTTGAAATTTCATTTTAAATTAAATGATATATATTTTAAGAATTCATAAAATCAATCATTCTACATAATTTCATTTTATAAAATGAATATCCAATTATAGGTTATTAGAAACTGGCAATATTTAAAATTTTAATATGAGAATCATGATCAATTTTGCATTGATTTAAATAACTGAACTCCTTGCAATAATTTCCCTTGTTAATTTTTTTCTTTTATAAGGCTTTCTTTTTTTTCCAATTCTCAATTGCATTTTCATTTTATTTCTGTGCATCAAATGTAAATTGTAAAAACATATAAATCGATATTATATATTGGGTGTATGGTAAAGTGTGTTCTCATTCTTATTCAACATGCATTTTCTTGGTTCCATAATATCAAAATCCCAAAAAGGTTTGTACAAAGAAGTTGCTTTGTCAAGGGTTACATCAAAGGAAACGTTTTTGTTCAAAAAAGTAGTTTCCAAGGATAGACAACAGTAGGTGTTCAAAAAAAAAAAGGTGTTCAAAAAAAAAAAAGGATAGACAACAGTCACAAGACTCACAACCCACAAGGCTAATGTATTTTGTAAAAAAATATATATCGATATTATTATGTTGAGTGTATGGTAAGGTGTGTTATCATTCTTATTTAACATTTCTTGCCTCCATAATATCAAAATCCCAAAAAAGGTTTGTACAAAGATGTCAAGGGTTACATCGAAGGAACCGTTTTTATCAGAAAATAGTTTCCAAGGAAAGACAACAGTCCCAAGACTCGCAACACTAGCCTAAGAATGCAACAGTGTTATAAGTTCCAAGGTCAAAGCTTGACCTTCATAGGCACAACTATCACTATGCCATAAAAATGACAAAGCAACCCCGTTGCTTATGAGCAAAAACTGATCAGAAGCAGGCAAAAGAATAAAGACTATTTCAATCTTGTAACCCCTTTCAAAGCTTATATTGAGAAGCCCTAACTATTAAGTCAATAATGTAGCTACAAACTTTCTACACCAATAGGTTGAGATTCTCCATATTTCCCTCTCACTAGAATATCAAATGTAACACCATCAGGTACAAGACCCTTGTCAAGCATCTCATCATGAAGTCTAAAAGCCTCATCAAGGTTTCCTTCTTTAAAATGTCCTGCAATCACCGCGTTGTAGATAAACACATTTGGAGTCACATCATTCTTCTTCATCTCCTCAAACATCTTAACCACTTCCACAAACTTTCCCATCTTGCTAAGACCGTTTACAATCACCGAACTCATGAATTCATCAGCCACAATACCTTCTCCCTGCATCTCTGTGTACAAACCAAAGGCCATGATCAAGTTCCCTTCTTTTAACAATCCATCGACCAGTGTTGTGTACGTACGTAGATCACATTTTAGACCGTCTTTCAACATTTTCTTGTACAAATCAAGAGCTGCTTCCATGTTACCAAGATTACGGAAACCAGATATTAAGCTGTTGTAAACAGCTTCATTTGGATTCAACCCTTCTTTAAAGAGTTCAGAGAACAAAGCAGATGCACTTTTCATGTTACCCTTTTTGCAGAATCCATCAATAAGAGCACCATAAGCTGGAATATCAAGTTTAAGACCTTTGTTCTTCATCTCCTTCCTCATCTCCAGTGCTTGATCCATTCTGCTATTTTTACATAACCCATCCATCATACAGGTATAAGTCACTACGTTTGGTGAAATACCATTGCCACACATCTCTCTGTAAGCTGCAACCGCAGAATCCATTTTACTCTCTTTGATAAATCCATCAATGATGCTATTGTAACTCATGCAACCAATACAAACCCGGTTTTCTCTCATCAGATCTTCCAACATCTCTTTAGCTTTAGAAGTCTGACCAGCTTTGCATAAACCATTGATAACCGTGTGGTATACAACCTCATTGACTTCAATACTGGAAGAGTTCATTTGAGCTATGACTTCCCAAGCGTTATGAAAATCATGATTCTTGAAACACCCATCGATCAAAGTGGAGTAAGTATAGTCGTTAGGCTTTATATCCTTCTCCAGCATCTCTGAAAATACAGTAAGAGCCAAGTCTAACCTTTTGTTCCTGCAGAGGGCAAGCATCACGTTATTGTAAGAAACTACATTAGGTCCAAGACCTCTACTCTCCATCTTCCTCAACAAGTCTTTAGCCTCATCTATCTTACCTTGCTTGCATAACCAAGACAACATACTGTTACATATAAAGATGTTTGCAACACCGGTTTCAAAATACTCCTCAAAGAGTCTCAGACCCTCTTCAGGTCTCTGACCTTTCAAACACACTTGAATCACTGAGTGGACTTGAAACCCTGAAGGAGTAATCCCCAAAGCTTCCATCTTCTTATAAAACTCAAGTACCTTCTCCATCTCCCCGTTCTTACTAAACCACTCTATCAAAACCGAAAACGTAACACGGTTCGGACACGGTCCTTCTTTCTCCATCTGATAAAACATATCCAAAGCCCTCCCCAACTCCCCATTCTTGCAATATCCCTTGATAAGACTCGTCGCTGCAATCACACTCATCGGTATCCCATCACTCACCATCTCATCCTTCAACCTAACCGCCTCCTCCACCTTATCCCCCTTCACTAACGCCACAATCACAGAAGTATACGTCTCCTGCCCCACACAAAACCCCTTCTCCTTCATCTCCCTCAACAAACCAACCCCCATACCCAAATCCACACTCTTACAACAAGCCTGAATAGCAAGGCTATAAAGCAAACCATCTCTCTCAACAGCTCCCCTAAAAACCTCCAACGCCTCCTCAGGCTTCTCTTCTCTCAAACTAGCTCTCATCAACAAATGCGCTGTAGCTTTATCACCAGCAACCAGACCAGTAGCAACCATCTTACTATAAACCTCCTTAGCTTCCTTGATCATGTTCCTTCTCATTAAACCACTTAAAGTATTGTTAACATATCTAACGTAAGGAGCTAAACCCAGCTCTAACATTAGATTAATACACTCCACCGCGTAATCTATTCTCCTCTCTTTCGTGTAAGCGTTCAATAAGTAACTTAAAGGTAGTGACTTTACTTCAAAGTCAAATGATTTAGCTGATTCAACTAAACTACTGACTAAGACCTTTGGCGTTGGCGTTGGATTGGTGGAAGAGACATACCGTTGGAGCAAGTCACGTGCGAGTCCGTGACTCTCGGGAGAGGTGATTAGAATGTGGATGAGTAGAAAGAAGGCTTCACTAACTTCGAAGCTTCCACGCCACGGTTTAGCCCAGTTGTAGAATCTAAGAGCTGATTCCGGGTTGTTTCTACGGTCTAGAAGCACGTGAATTACACGTGATTCGTCTTTCTCTTCAGGGTTTGTAGTTGAGGGATTCGGTAATAATACGGATCCGTTAACTGGATTGTCGGATTCTGTGGAGAATCGAGATTGAGAGCAAAAGGGTTTACTGTGAATCAAGCAACGAAGGAGAAAGGGAGGTGGGATTTTTCTGAAAGCTAATAAAGATCTCATTTTTTTTTTTTTTTTACTTCTTGTGTTTTGAAGTAATGTTTGAGTAAGATGAAGATGATCGGAGAAGGGATTGAAAATCTCTCCGAGATCAATGAAAAGGGGCTTAAACACTAGTTTAGTGAGGCTGTCACGACGTCGTTTTGGACTTTATTAAAATAATAATTAAAATGAGTATTCGGGTTCGGTTTGGATCGGTTCTGTGTCTGGTCTGAGGTTTTAAAGATAGATATTTTGTAAATTTTGGAATCGGTTTTAGATTGATTCCTATTGGTTCCGGATCGGTTTTGATCTCAATTTTTAAAATTATGTAATAGTCAAATATTTTTACATATGGTTTTATTTTAAATATTTAGTATCCTGAAATATCGAAGATCCATGGGTAGCTAAAAGAAAAAAGAATCTAAAATTTTCAAAATTTTATTAAAAAATTTTGAAACTATATTCAGAAATCGGAATTCAAAACTTAAAAATACATACCAAAAATCTATATTAAAATCCAAAATATTTAATATATATATAAAACCGGTTATTGAGTTGGTTCAGGTTTGGTTTCGGTCCAAGTAAGCCTACTTTTCAGTTCCATTTATACAGTATCTAATCCAAAAGAGATCGTCTTCATTTACCAAAGCACAAGAGAGGAGAAAGAAAGAAAAAAATGTCGAATTGCAGGTTTCTCTACCACAACGGCGTCGTTACGGAGGCTCCTCCCGTCACCACTTTCCTCCAATCTCTCCCCGGTACGCAACCAAACTATGCCTAATGAAACACAAGATAAATACGCAGAGAGACTACAAAAAAAAAGAAAAAAGTTTGAAACTTTGATTGATTTTTTGTACAGGTGCTTATACTACGACGAGAACGATAAACAATTCCACTAACTTCTTGTTCTGGGAGAGACACTTGAAGAGACTTTCCACCTCAGTCCGTATCCTTTTGGATTCAAAGCCTGAGTTTTTGTTCAGCTCGGTGCCATCATCTCGTTTTTCGATGAACCAACCGGTTCATGAGTCGTGTATTTACGATTTAGTTAATGGGTCTATGAGCAAGGCTATGAGATCTGTTGTAGTTAAGGAAAGGGAGAGACTTTGTGGAGAAGAGTTAGCTGTAACGGTTCTTGTTACTGGTAATGAGGAGAAGTTGTTGAGTAGGTTAGGTAATGAAAAGGTAGTGGATTTTTTGGATGTGTGGTTGCATATTGGTGGATACTCGTTAAGTGTTGGTGAGAGTGCTGCGAGTTTGGCTTTGGTTGGTTATGGAAGAGATGTTGCTAATGCTAAGTACTCAGATTGGGTAAGGTACTGTGCTCATTCTATGCTCATTCAACTTGATAGCTTATTAGTTTTGAGGGATTAAGCTTGTGGGTTTGTGGTTTAGGAAGGTTGAGGAAGCCTCTGGAGAAGTTTAGACCTCCTTTGACTACTGAGCTTCTTTTGTCGAATGATGGTGATCATTTGCTTGAGGGTTGCGTCACCAACTTCTTCGTGGTGTGTCGTAAGGTACAAAGAAAAAAAGCTTTGAGTTTCTTGTTAATGTTTTGTTAAAAAGGAAGCTTATGCTTTGGTGTTGGAACTTATTGTAGAAGTCATCATCTGGGGAGAGTTTGAAGGAGTTTGAAGTTCAGACTGCACCTGTAAGTGATGGTGTGCTTCCAGGAGTTATAAGAGAGGTTGTCATCGAGTAAGAAACAAAAGTTGAACATCTTAACGCTCTGTTTATGATCACAATAAGTAAAAATTTGGTTAAATTAATTGTCAGAGTGTGCTTAAGCAAGGGGATTCCATACCGGGAGAGAGCACCTTCGTGGTCTGAGCGGGAGCTTTGGGAAGAAGCCTTCATTACAAGTAAATATTTCGCTTTCTCGCTTACACCTTTTTGGTGGCTGAACAGTTTCACTTGTTGATTGTTGAGCAGATCCAAAGAACTTTTTTGTATGCAGGTAGTCTGAGGATTTTGCAGCACGTCGGGACGATTAAAGTACCGGTTGATTCACTAGAGGCATTGGCTTGTATTAAACCAGAGGAGATTGAGTGGAAGGAGAAAAGGTTTAAGGAAGGACCTGGAATGATCACTAAGTTAATCCAGGTATAATTTACTACTCTTAGATCAATTATTGTTTTGGTCTTTGCTTTTGAGTTTGTTGTTGTTGCTATGTTTTTGGGTGTAGAAAGCGATAATGGAGAGAGGAATTGAAGAAGGGTTCCCTTTGAAGGATTTGTAAGGCCTTTTCATTGTCTTTGTCAAATAGGCTGAAAGTTTGATTACTGGTCTAGTTCTACTCATGTCAACATCATCAAAATGTAATCAAGACTCTCTCTTCAAGCTTAAAAACCGCGTTTTGCGATTTGAGCTAGAAACGTCTTCTTCGGTTTGCATGATGCTTAATCAAGCTTGGTTAATTTTACATAGGCTTGTGTTTCTTCTTCTTTCCAGTTCCCTAGTGATCACAGTACAACGAATAACTTCTATATCATATGTCAATGATAGCACACATCATGTCATGTGTTGCTCATTGATCTGATGTACCCTTCCTCACATGTCATACGGCTCCTTTAGAAAGCACTTTTTTGCCTATTTGATCGGTCATGACCCTTAAATTGAAAAAAATAATAATAAAAACTTGCAATGAAATGTTTATAGCTTCTTTAAATCTTAACTTTATGTCTCTCTTCCAGGCTCCAGTTCAGTTTTATCTTTCTATGATTTTGGTCGATCAGATCACCTTTGCAATGAATCTATATGTTCCTTTAAGCTCCAACGTTACATGACAATGACAAAAATGCTATGCGGATACTGAAAAGAAAATGAGAACATCCTTTCTAAATCTGAATGAGAGAATCATGCAACACTATAAATTTATAATACGAAAAAAACGTCACATATCTTCAACTAGTAGTAACAAACAACTTTTAGTCAACTCTACGTGATCCAACTTATATAATAATAATAACACTTCCTTGGTTGCACTACGCACGTCTAACCATTGAAGTCATAACCTTCCCACCTCTTGCTTAGTCAACGGTGACTAACACTATCCACGTGACGCTCCCTCATTCGCTGCCTCTCATCCATCATCAAATACAAATCATCCACGTGGCAGAAATCATTTTACCTTAAATTTAAAGACTCAATTAATATAAAAACCCCAAAAACCCTCTCTTCTTCAACTCTCTCTCACTCGACTCTGATCCGATCGTAAAACATCAATGGCGTCATCAACAAGCATCTCTCTCCTTCTCTTCCTCTCCTTCCTCTCCTTCCTTCTTCTCGTCAACGTTTCCAACGGCTCAGATCTCGACGAGGAACTCGCTTTCCTCGCCGCGGAGGAGTCCAAAGAACAACACCACCACCAGGCCGATCCTCACCACGATCAGTACCGAGACTTCGAGAACTACGACGATCTCGAGCACGGAGGCGAGTTCCACCACGGAGAGCAGCATCATGAAGGCGGCGAGTACCACGAGGAGGAGCAGCCGTTACCGATCGTCGACGAGAAAGACGTGGCGGTTTTAACCAAGGAGAATTTCACCGAGTTCGTTACGAACAATAGCTTCGCGATGGTGGAGTTCTACGCCCCGTGGTGCGGCGCGTGTCAGGCTTTGGCGCCGGAGTACGCCGCGGCGGCGACGGAGTTGAAGGGAGTCGCGGCGTTGGCGAAGATTGATGCGACGGAGGAAGGGGATTTGGCTCAGAAGTATGAGATTCAGGGGTTCCCTACTGTGTTCTTGTTTGTTGATGGAGAGATGCGTAAGACTTATGAAGGAGAGAGGACTAAGTAAGTCTCTGCTCTCTCAATTTTGTAGATTAGATGTTAGGGATTTTGAGTTAGGTTTAGCCAATTTATAGCATAAGATGAATAGTTTAACCGGGGCTTCTAGCTCTAGTGGTAAAGTGAGTACCGCCACTGGGGAATTAACATTTTGGCATCGACTGAGACAGAAGACCAACACGTGACTAGTCTAGATCACTTCTGTGAGGCCAGGATAACTCTGTATAATTCAAAAAAAATAAGATGAATAGTTTGAGATGTGATCATTTGGTTTAGCTTTGGCACTAGTGATGTTATTTTAGACAGTTTACAGGAAATGTTATAGAGATTGTTTGTCTTTGATTTGATTTGATAAGAGAGAGATGACTCTAAAGAAAGTCAATCATGAGATTAGTGGGATAGATAGAGGACGTGTGATCTTGGATTTATTCTATTTGATTTAGGTTAATCAGCTTGTTTTTCGATTGTTAAATATAACGAAACTTAATTTTGTAGGGATGGGATTGTGAGTTGGATGAAGAAGAAGGCTAGTCCGAGCATTCACAACATCACTACAGTAGAGGAGGCTGAGCGTGTTTTATCTGCTGAACCTAAAGTTGTTCTTGCTTTACTCGACTCCTTGGTGGTATGTAAACCATCAAAATCCAAAATGATTTATCTGCTCTCCTTCTTGGTTTCTTAAGAGTTATATAACATACTTTCAATCAGAAAGAAAAAGAAATGGAGATGTTAAGAAAATTGCCCTGTGGTGTTTAGTAGTTGAAAGATACCCTCGCAGTATAGTTTACAGTTTGCATACGAGATCCTTTTTGTGTACCGCGTTTTACTTTGTGTGCCCTGGAGTTTTAGGATGCATCATTAACAACTGTGTATCTTTTTGGCTTGAATATTCTATTCTGACATCATTTTCACCATTTTTCTCTTGCTTAGGGGTCAGATAGTGCCGAGCTTGCTGCTGCATCCAGGTTGGAAGACGATCTCAGTTTCTACCAAACTACAAGCCCTGATATTGCAAAGCTATTTGAAGTAGAAACCGATGTCAAGCGTCCTGCCTTAGTTTTGCTGAAAAAGGAGGAAGAGAAACTCGCTCGTTTTGGTAAAAGACCCACCAACACTCAACACATATCACCTTTTTTTATGCTGCTTAGATTTCCTCTATGTGTCTCTCTCACTCACTGTCCCACTTCCTTTACAGATGGAAATTTCACTAAGGCGGCTATATCAGAGTTTGTGTCAGCCAACAAAGTTCCATTGGTCATCAACTTCACCAGGGAAGGCGCTTCACTGATTTTCGAGAACTCAGTGAAAAACCAAGTAAAGACCATTCTGTTTCTTTTTTCTGTTTGAATATTTTCCCCATGTTCATTGCTACGAACTAAGGAGATTGACTTTTGTTTCTGAAACCTTGACAGCTCCTTCTTTTTGCTACGGCAAATGAATCAGAGAAGCACCTTCCCACTCTGAGGGAGGTGGCAAAGTCCTTCAAGGGCAAGGTACTTTTATTTTTCTATGCTCTTGGAATTGTTATGTACCAAAAGGAGAAGGTTGATGTGTGATGACTAGAGTTATTGATGAGTTGGAAGGGCAATCATCTCTCTCTCTCTCTGTATGCAGTTTGTCTTTGTTTACGTGCAAATGGACAATGAGGATTACGGAGAAGCAGTTTCTGGATTCTTTGGTGTTACCGGCACTGCCCCCAAGGTTCTTGTATACACTGGAAATGAAGATATGAGGAAGTTCATTCTGGACGGTGAACTGACCGTGAACAACATCAAGGTGACCTCTACTTCTATTTTCTGTGAAATGTTATGGTTACCGACTTGTTACTTCATTATTTATTGAATTATCTTTAAACAGCACCCTTTTTTGATTAATATTTATCTCTTGTATAACAGACACTTGCGGAAGATTTCCTAGCAGACAAACTGAAACCTTTCTACAAGTCAGATCCAGTACCTGAAACCGTAAGCCTTCCCACATTTCAAATTTCAACACACACATTTGACATGCCACATCATACTGATTTTCACTTGCTTCTAATTATCAAACGCAGAATGACGGTGATGTTAAGATCATTGTGGGAAACAATTTTGATGAAATTGTTCTTGACGAGTCAAAGGATGTTCTTCTCGAGGTAATAATCACACTGAAACGTTAAAGAGTCTTGTTTACACATCTTAATGTTATGTAGCACCTAATGCGTGAGTTCTATCACAGATATATGCTCCATGGTGTGGCTACTGCCAATCGTTTGAGCCGATTTACAACAAGCTTGGCAAGTATCTAAAGGGCATCGACTCACTAGTTATAGCCAAGATGGATGGTACCACCAATGAGCATCCCAGAGCGAAGGTAAATAATTAAAAGACAGATTTTGAAAAGGGTTTTTTTTTTTTGCCTATGGTCTAATTCTCTTATGGTCAGGCTGATGGGTTCCCAACAATCCTGTTCTTCCCTGGAGGAAACAAGAGCTTCGATCCGGTTAGCAAAAACTGTTCACTATATCAAACATTGTTTCATAACTTGCAAGTCATTTTTTACTTGTTATAACTGTTACTTGTATTCAAAACAGATCACCGTGGATGTGGACCGTACAGTAGTGGAACTGTACAAATTCCTGAAGAAGCACGCATCAGTCCCATTTAAACTTGCGAAGCCTTCAGCCACGCCTGAACAGGTCATCACGACCAAGAAAGCTGATGAGAAGACTGAAAGTGATGGAGCCAAGGATGAGTTGTGATGATACTTGCAAGGAACAGAATGTGTAATCCCGGCCATAGATGATTACTCTTCTATACATGATAGAATATGTATTGTTCTTTTTTTTATGTTGTTGGTTTATGTTGTATGTTATGAAATGAATAACTAAAAGAATTTTTGGTTTCTCAAGTCAAAGATGAATCTGAGCTGTGTTTTGGCTCTGAGTGCAACAACAACCTAACTGACCGAGAGAGAGCAGGTCACTTTCTTTTGGATGAGTCCTCTTTATAGGAAGACCTTCTCATAATCTCAATTTCAATTTTACTTATAAGTAATTTTGAATTGATGGTTTGTAGATTTTAACTACACTAAAATATTTTCTTGTATCAAAATAACTATGATTGTAACATTTTCAGGCAAATGGTAAGAAAAAACAAAACCAATATTTGTTCTACGTAAACAAGTTGGCTTTTCGGTTTCAATTTTACGCTGAATTATCCGGATCTTTTGATGGTCCCTCAATGACAGACAAAAGATACACCTCAGATAAATACTAAAACCTAAATTCCATTATGCCCATCCAAAACTCTTATGGTGTAGGTCTACGTTATACTATTAAAGGACTTGATGGATTTGATTATAACATAATCTGACATAACAAATAATATTAGAAGAGAACACCATAAAACTCTGACTTGACAATATTATCATATAATCATAAATATATAATTAATTATTCAGAATATGTGTAGAGTCCCTCCGCACACGTCTCTGATTGATTCTTTTCGACTAAAAGATACTACTAGACATCTCTTTTCCGTAAAGTTCAATATATATACATAATTATTTTTCTTCTTAATCGCATTTCATTTCTCTTGATTGCATTTCATCTATGAGAGAAGCAGAAAAGGACGTTTAGGATTTAACGTATTAAGCGTTGTATTTTGGAGGTCTACATTAGTCTTTATCATAGTCATAGCGTTACACTTATGTAAAAACAAGAAAGACAGAGAGGCATAGTAAAGATTAGGTGATACTTTGCAAGTACACCATTCTTTTCCAAATCTAAGTAATGTCTCAAGTTTTACATTCTTTTTTCAGTCAAGAT